TTATTATATTTTAAGTTAATAATATTTAAATATTATAAGTCTTTCTGCTGCTTTTTTATAGAAAACTTTAATAATTTTTTAAATAATATTAGTTTTTAATTTTTATATTTATATATTATAAATATTTTATTTTATTATAGTTTTTAAATTTTTTTTATTAATAATTTTACTTTACTTTTTTAATTTTTTTTTTTTACTTATATTAATTTTATAATTTTCTTAATTTATATACTTTATAGGATTAGTTAATATATTTAAAAAGGCTTGTTTTATTTAAATATTTAAAAGGTTTTAAAATAACTATTTTAAAAAATTAATATTATTAAATAGCTTTTTATATAAGGCAGTATAAATTATTATAGAGTTTTAATATTATATATTAAAGAATATATATTAAAAAAATATTTTTTTTAGCCTTTTATTTAAAATACTTTATATATCTATAAATAATATAATTAATTTAATTAATTTAATAATACAGTAAATATACTGGGTTAATATAATTATATTCTTTAATTACTTTTTTATAATTAAAGCCTTAAATAAGTATTTAATTAATAGTAATAGCCTTAATAATATATTATATTTCTAAAGTTTACTTTTATAAGTTATTTAAATAAATATATAATACTATTAAAGTATTTTCTATATTTATATTTACTTTATCTATAATATTATATTAAAATAAATTAAATATTATAATTTTAAAAGTAAAATTTTTATAATATTATATAATATCTTTAGTTTTTTTAAAGTAATATTTATAGTTAAATTATTTATTATTTTTATTATTTTTTAAGGCAATGCCTTTAATTAAATTTATTAAGTTTATAAAATTAACTTAAGGGATAGGTTATTAATTAAGGATTTTATTATTAATTTTTTTATTTAGTATTTTAAATATATTTAAGAGTTTAAATATAGATTTATAAAAGTTATAGTTATTATTATTTTTAAAAGATTTTAATTATTTTAATAAATAAATAGTTTTATTACCTTTATTTATAATATATATTACTTTTAGCTTAAGAATTATAAATTATTTTTTTTTTAGGGATTTATAGTTTTTAATTATATAGTATAGCTTTTTATAATTATAATATTTAAATTCCTTTTTTTTCTTTTATATTATATTAAAATCTATAGGTCTAGCTATATTACTATTATCTTTAATAATTAATTTTTATTATTTTTTACTTTAATTTATTTAAAATTTTAAATAATATTTCCTTTTTTATTTAAAAAAATTTATTTTTAATTTTTATAGTAAATTATTTACTTTTATATATTTTTTTATAAAAGATAAAAAATTATATTATTTTTAATTAATTTAATAAACTTTTTTTTTAATTTTAGGTTTAAGTTTATTATAAAATTATTTAATAAATGCTAATTTCTTTTAATTAATATATATTATTAAATCTTAAAATATTATAATATAATTTAAATACTTTTCTTTTTAGTAAATAATAATAAGTTTATTTTTAGTTATTTTAATTTCTTTAATATTTTTAAAGGCTTTTTTAAGTTTTTTTTTAAATTTATTAAAACTTTTAAAAATAACTTTAATAATATTTTTAATAATAAAGTTATATTTTATATAATTATCTTAAATTAATTTAAATTATTTAAAAGTAAGTTTTAAAAAATAAAATGCTATAAAAAATATTTTATTTTCTTCTTTTTTAAAGATAGTAGGGAAGTTTTAAAAATAAGCCTTAAGTTATATAATAAATAATTAAAGTTTAATAGGCTTGCTATTATATACTAGTAAAAGTTAAAGCTTAAGGGTAACTTTAATATTTTTTCTTAAGGCTAATGCTTTTTAGTTTTTATATAGTTTTTTAATAAGTTTTTTAAGCTATTTAATAATAAGCTTATTTTAATTAAGTTTATTAATAAAGTTAATATCTTTATTTATATCTTTAATAAAATTAAAAGTAAAGGTATTAAAGTTACCTAAGGTTACTATAGTAGTTTAAATTACTTAAAAAATCTAAAGTATTTTTTTAAATAAAAGTTATTAATATATAATATTTTAATCCTATATTTAATATAAGGTAATTAATTCTTAAAGAATAAACCTTTAATATTAGGTTTATATTAGCAGAAAGATATAAAAGATTTTATAAGTAGTTTTAGTTATATAGCTAATAACTTTAAATAAAGGTTTAATTTAATTATTATATAAATGCTATATTAATAATTAATTATTTATGCTATATTTAATAAGTATAATAAATAGTTTTATATAGTAAGTTATTTTATTTAGATTATAGTTGGATTATAATGCATAGGCTTACGATGGCTTATAGAAGTAATCTAACAAGAGAGCCTATAAACTATAATCCTCCTTTAATTAGTCTGTCAGTCCTTAATTAATCCTTAAGTACATACCTCTAGGCTACTAATGTATAGACATGGGGTTCAGGTTGTAATATATAGCTAATAACTTTAAATAAGAGTTTAATTTAATTATTATATAAATGCTATATTAATAACTAATTATTTATACTATATTTAATAAGCATAATAAATAGTTTTATATAGTAAGTCATTTTGTTTAAATTATAGTTAGATTATAATACATAGGCTTACAATAGCTTATGGAAGTGATTTAATAAAGGAGCCTATAAACTGTAATCCTTCTCTAATTGGTCTGTCGGTCTTTAGTTAATCCTTAAGTATATACCTCTAGGCTACTAATATATAGACATGGGGTTTAGGTTGTAACAGTATGCCTTTATAAGGCTATATATTTTTAAGTAAATATTAAAGTATTTTTAAAGTATTAAAATAAATAATTTAATAAATATTATAATAAGCTTGTTTAATAATAAAAATTATAATTAAAATAAGCTTATATAAAAAGAAATATAAAAAAGTATATAAAATATAATTTTTAACTTTACTAGTAATATTAGCAGTAAAAATAAGTTTTTTAATTTGCTGCCTTTATTACTAATGCTGCTAGTAATAAAAATACTGTTAAAAATAACCCTAAAGGGCTATTAAAAGAAGATTTTAAAAATACTTAAGGAATTTAAAAAAATACAATATTTATAAAAAGTAATTAAAAATAATTTTATTATAATAAAAAATAAGTATTAATATATTAATTAAAAAAAAAGTAACTTTAAATTAAATACATTTCCTTTATTAAATAAAGTAACTTGATTTTTAGGGTAATTTATGAATTTTAGGCCTAACTTTAAGGCAAAGCCGAAAAGTTAGTTACTAAAAGTAAAACCAACGGGTAGTCTTTTAGTAATACCTAGCAGCTACTCAGCAATAAAAACACACCTAGCCCCACTTGATCCTCTATTACTTTTCTTGCAAGACCCGGACTGTGATATAATATTAAAAAATATATAAATATTAATTTATTAATCTTTATATTTCAATATACCCCATGTAGATACTCTAATCTATAGAATTACTTATAGTATATGTTTTGTCAGTCAGCCTCGGACAATCCTCCGGACAATCTTTCGGACAATCTTTCGGACAACCCTCCCCCCACCCGACATCGGCAGTTAATACCAGGTCAGAGTCTAACTTTAAGGCTCTACCTTGAGCCTAATTACTTAAAGTTATAACAACAGATATTACAAAGGACAACAAGCTGCTAAATACTGTAGAAGAAGCTACCTACACGCCTTACGTTTGTCTTATAGAACAACAAGCACAAACCCTTGATAACAACACTATAACTGTTTCCTCAGGTGCCTTTATTTACCTATTTATACTTTTAATAATAGATAATAAATAGTTAGTAATTATTGCTTATATGAGTAAATAGCTATAGCTATATATATAACCCTAGCTATAGAGAGCTCTTGGCTAACACTATCTTATAAAGACAACGAAGGTGCTGCGATTGATCAAAAACAAGTCTGGAAGTTGCCCGATCTCGGCGATACTGCCAACGACAATGACAAGTTCAGCAGCAGCCAGGAGAGAGCAGCAGCCTGAAGAGTAGCGGCCAGGAGAACAGCGTCCAGATAAGCGGTCGATATATAATATCCTCAGATTTCGGCAATATAAGAGATACTTTGGATGAGCCTTTTCTACCACCAAGCCCTAGTAATAGCGACAACATTTTCGCCAACCTTTTGCCCTGGCCCTCCTTTAAAACTTTTCCTATGGCCATACCACAACAGCCAATATTACAAACAGTCGTCTACCGTGCTATTGACGTCCTCCAATTACAAAAGCCATCTACTAACCCTACTTCTATCGACCAGCACGTTAGGGTGTATGAACAGATCTTCGAGGACTGCTTCGCATCCAATGCAGCTGCCAGCCGGCCTCTGTAGCCAGCGGTCTTATACGTAATATTTTCAAACAGATCTAGTTTCACAGTAATAGTATAACTATCCCTTGGCTAATCATAAATAGATTTAATTATCTTAATGAAGAGTAAGGAAAGCTCCGAAAGAAAAAGCTAGTACTTAAATACCAAGGCTGTTACAAAAAGTGGCCACTTGTATTAATTGACAATTACACTGTAAAAGTGGTTTTGGTCAAGTAATCCTTATTTGCGAGGCGCTTCCTCTGGCTCGTATGTGAGAGCTATAGATTGGTTTGGGTTGGCTAGTTAGAAGCGTTAGTGTATTCAGTGTCGATGTCGAGAAATGGGGTGCTTACGGCTTATTCACCACGCTCACCCCAGAAATGAGCTCCCAAACCAACCGTGCTCTGGCATCGGCGGTTATCGTTAGATGTAGGATCAGAGTTGCAGCTGCAGCCGAGGGCGCTGACAGCGTGCTCTTCGGCACAACCACCTCCATTGCTGTTGTAGAAGGTAATGGACTCGCAGTTATCATCGAAGTTGTTCTGGCAAACAATAAGCCAGCTACCAATGCCTCCATTAGGCTGGGGCAAAGCATCACAAGCTCCCGGAAAAAACGATCCAATGAAGTTTTGGCAGTTGTGGTCGGAGTAAATGTTGATTTGCAAAGCTGTGGCAAATGTTCCCATGGCAATAAGGCCAAGGAAAGGGATATAGGACCGGATCAGACTCATTTTGGCGGTTGGGTAGTTTGGAGAAAACTTTGAATGGGCTTAGTAGCTGTAGTGAAGTTTGTTGATGTGCAAAAGGGATAACTTCTTCTTTGTATAACAGTTGGTGGCGATGCTGTTATTTATACTACTTCAGGTAACAGCAATAGGCTTGCTCTAGTAGATATCTACAACTACAATAATACCTTGCTCGGCTAAAACGGCAGTAATAAATAATCTTTGTACATTTTAACTTCCAAGTCAAGATAAGTCAAAAGTGCCAAGGCTAGCGCTTACAGCTGCTGTTATATCTAGTACACTCCCCAGGAACCAAACCAAGAAGCAATATACTAAGTCAATGTGTTGAAGACAAATAGGTGATGTGCCAAGCCAAATAAGTGGACTTCGGCGTCACTATCACTCCGTTATATTCACCGCCTCGGCATAATCACTCCGGAAGCTGCTTTAGTACTATTCCTTTATAGAGTAACTAAACTCTTTCTCCTGCTAACATTTTAATTTGCAAATTTTGCAGTACTACTATCTTATTTCTGCTACAATTGTAGAAGTCACCCTTACTCAGTACTTGATAGGTAGAATCCCGTTATAACTGGCTTGCTAGCACCCTTGAGCCCTCTATTATTGATAACAAAGGGAGGGTCTTAGGGTCTTATCTTCATTAGAAGTTTGCACTTCCTGTTTTAGATCTCTGCAGCTCCAGTATCCAAGTTTAATCTACTGCAGCCAAGCCGACGCAAATGTGAGTTAATTACCAATTGGTGCTTCATACACACAAATAGACTAGTCATTAGCTTTACCGCAAATCAGGTGGTTTGATACACCATGGTTGAAAATCCTGTAGCTTCTGAGAGTGACAACATACAATAGAGCGCCGCACCTACTAGGTAGAAGCATCTAGCGATGAGACACCAGAAACTTCTGGGTACCATGAACCTGAAAGACGCCCCTAAAGACCCTTCTCTCTCTAGCAGCTTTTCATTTTAACCCTAGCCGTTTGGGGCTTGCTTAATCTGTCTCAGCAAATATGGTCTCACTTAATGGGCCGCCAACTATCCTGTTATTGCAGAAAAACATCCACAGAAGCGGCTTCCTGCGGTTGCATCTATGGCCTGCCGCGATGGGGGTTAGTCAAGGTTTTCGAAGAATTGGCTGATAGCTAGAACTAGACATATTATAACTACCCCGAGTTAACGAAAGAGCTTTGCATTGCTAAGGTCTCAAGCTTCGCAGGGGGCGGTATTGAAATTAAGGATAGTGCCGGTGTTATTCATACTACTATTAACAGGCACCTATTGCATTATTTGTATACGTGGTGGAAGCTCATGAGGGTAACATCATCAAGTACGCTCAGGGGTCCTACGTATAGCAACAAGGGACATGTAAAGCATTGCTTTCACGAGATATGGAAATACTTGTAATAACCTTCCGATATTAACAGGCTATCCAGTGCTACTGGTTTCATCTTTTCCCAAACTTAAGTAGCAATACCTGCTTATAAATTTATTAGCTGTCTGAGTGTAATGATTTACAAATTACTAGTAAATTGCTGATATGCATAAACCATGTAAACTAAAGCAATACGTCCAGAAATAACCAGCTTTAATTGGCATGTTTTAAGAGGGGTCTGTAAGCTTGGGATAAGGTTAGCGGGAAATATCCGAATATAGCCTGGGCAGCTAAGTCAGACCAGTGGCTAGTCGGCCACCCCCGCTAGTCGGCCACCTAATTTGGTCAATTTCTGGATTAACCTCGAGGGAGAAGATTAACACAACAACATTACGAGCTCGTTTTTTTTCCTAGTTTTTTATTATAGCTGCCATTTATAGCAGAGGTCCTTAAAGTCTATAGAATCTAGTGACCTAGATACATTTTCTGGTTGTAGTTGCTGTTCTATTTAAGCCCTTGTGTTTATTATATCCTCGATCCTGATAAATCGACTATTTGGGTTTTTTATAACCTTCTGTTTCTTCTTTTTTTTATTTCTATTAATTTAATGCTCTAGATTTTAAATCTTAGCCTCTGCGGCAGCTAGTCTTGTGTTCTAACGGTCTAGATGGCTTCTAATCTTATAAAATAATAGTCGCTGGGTGGGGTTGTGTTACGACCTGAACCCCATGTCCATACATTAGTAGCCTAAAGGTACATACTTAAGGATTAACTAAGGACCGATGGACTAATTAGAAGAGGATTACGGTTTATAGGCACCCTTGTTGGATCACCACCGTAAGCTATCGTAAGCCTATGCATTATGATCCAACCGTAATCCAAATAAAACGACTTACTATATAAGACCATTTATTACACTCATTAGATATAGCTTAAATAGTCAGTTGTTAACATAACATTTATATAACAACCAGATTAAACTCTTATCTAAAGTTATTAGCTATATAACTAAGACCGCTTATAAAATCCCTTACATCTCTCTGCCAACATAAACCTAACGTTAAAGGTTTATCCCTTAAGAACTAGTTACTCTATACTAGGTATAGGATTAAAATGTCATACATTAATAACTTTTATTTAAAAAAATACTTTAGATCTTTTAAGTAATTTAAACTACTATAGTAACCTTAGGCAACTTTAATACCTCTACCTTTAATTTTATTAAGGATATAGATAAAGACATTAACCTTACTGGTAAACTTAACTAAGACAAGCTTATTATTAAGCAGCTTAAAAAACTTATTAAAAAACTATATAAAAAATAAAAAGCACCAGCCCTAGGAAAGAACATTAGAGTTACCCTTAAGCTTTAACCTCCACCAGTATATAATAGCAAGCCTACTGAACTTTAATTATTTATTATATAACTTAAGGCTTATTTCTAGAACTTCTCTACTATCCTTAAAAAGGAAGAAAATAAAGTATCCTTTACAGTATCTTATCTTTTAGGACTTGCTCTTAAATAATTTAGATTAATTTAGGACAATTATATAGAATATAACTTTACTGCTGAAGATGCTACTAAAGCTATTTTTAAAAGTTTTAATAAATTTAAAAAAGAATTTAAAAAAGCCTTTAGAGATATTAAAGAAATTAAAATAGCTAAAAATAAACTTACCACTATTTACTAAAAAAAGAAGTATTTAAACTATACTATAATATTTTAAGATCTAGCAACATACATTAATTAAGGAGAATTAGCACTTGTTAAATGATTTTATAATAGACTTAAGCCTAAAATTAAAAAAGAAGTCTATTAGATTAATTAAAAATAATATAATCTTTTATCCTTTATAGAAAAATATATAAAAGTAAATAATTTACTATAGAAATTAAAGATAAATCTTTTTAAATAAAAAGGGAAATATTATTTAAGATTTTAAATAAATTAAAGTAAGAAATAACAGGAATTAATTACTAAAGATAATAGTAATATAGCTGGACCTATAGACTTTAATATAATGCAAAAGAAGAAAAAGGAATTTAAATATTATAATTACAGGAAGCTAAACTATATAGCCAAAAACTATAAATCCCTAAAAAAGGAATAATCTATAATTCTCAAGCTAAAAGCAATATATATTATAAATAAAGGCAATAAGATTATTTATTTATTAAAATAATTAAGATCTCCTGAAAATAATAATAACTATAACTTTTATAAATCTACATCCAAACTTTTAAATATATTTAAAATACTAAATAAAGAAACTAATAATAAAATCCCTAACTAACAACCTATCCCTTAAGTTAATTTTATAAATCTAGCTAATCTAGTTAAAGGCATTGCCCTAGAAAATAATAAAGATAATAAATAATGTAATTATAGATATTACTTTAAAGAAACTAAAGATATTATACAATATTATAAGAATTTTACCCCTGAAATTATAGCACTTAATTTATTTTAATGCAATATTATAGATAAAGCAAGCATAGATATAGAAAATACCTTAATAGTGTTATACACTTACCTAAATAATCTATAAAAACAAACCTCAAAAACCTAGTATATTGTTAAGGCTGTTATTATTAATTAAGCACTTATCTAAGGCTTTAATTATAAAAAAGTAATTAAAGAATATAACTACATTAACCCAGTACATCTGCTATATTATTAGATTAGCTAGACTGACTGCATTACCTATAAATATATAAAATACTTTAAATAAAAGGCTAAAAAGAATGTTTTTCTAGTATATATCCCTTGGTGTATAATACTGGAACCATATAATAATTTATACTGCCTTATATAGGAAACTACCTAATAATATCAATCCCTTAAGACAGTTATCTTAGAACCTCTTAAATATTCAGATAAAATAAGCCTTTTTAGATATACTAACCAATCCTGTAAGGTATATAAATTAAGAAAACTATAAGATTAGCATAAATAAAAAAAAATTAAAAGAATAAAACTAGATTGCTAATAAGAAGAATTTAAAGACTGCAATAAAATAGAATATTTATAATATATAGATAAAAAAATCAAAAACTAGCACTATTTAAAAAACTATTAAAGTCCTCTGCAGAAGGGCAGCAGAAAGACTTACAACACTTAAACATTATTAATTTAAAATATAATAATAAAGAAGAAGAAAAGCACCTTAATAAAAGAATTATCTTAACAGTATTATTAAATAAAAATCCACTTAGTATTTTAATAAACAGTAGGTTAAAAAGCAACTATATATCTGCTATAACTATAATATACCTATAGTTATTAATATATAAGAAAAAAAAACTATATTAACTTTTTTATACTAAAGAATAAACCTTTAAGTATAATAAAGGATAGATAAAGCAATAGACTAATCCCCTGCTGCTATAAATTAGTAACTGCACTATAAATATAATATATAATATAGCTAATATTCTAAAATATAACCTTGTCTTAGGAATACTTTAGTTATGTAAATATAAACTTAATATAAAATAAAGAATAGGCTAAATTTATTGGCGTAATAATAGAAGTACTTTAACTAGAACTAATGCAGAAATATTAAAAGAGGAACTAGGTCGCCAGAAGCCTAAGGTTTTCCTTAGCCCTTTAAACATCCTTCCTTAATATTATTAAAAAAAGGAGAGAATAAAATAAATTTATATATAAAGGTATGTTGCTATCTTATGCTAAGAATTAATAAAACTTAATAAAAAACTACATAAGTTAAAAATAAAAGAACTTACTCTAGAAGAATAATTAATATTAATTTTAAAATAATATTAAAAATACTAAAAACTCTTTAATAATTAATTAAAAGAAGGGTTATTACTATATTTAAAATAGGATTATAAGATAGTATTAAAAGAAGAAGAATTATTAAAATTTTATAAAATATATAACTTAAGTGAAGGAAAACTAAAAATACTTAAAGAATAAATTAAAATATAACTATAAAAAGGGTATATCTATATATTAAAATTATTTATTAAATATTCTATTATCTTTATTCTAAAAAAGAATAGTAAACTTTAATTAATTATTAACTACTGTAAATTAAATTAAATTACTGTTAAGGATAAAACCCCTTTACTATTAATCTTATAAATTAAAAATAGATTATATAGGAAGAAATAGTTTATAACCCTTAACCTTATAGAAGCTTACAAGCTTATATAAATAAAAGAAAAAGATAAATAGAAGATAGCGTTTACTATAAGATACAGGTTGTATAAATATATAGTTATGCTACAAGGGCTTACTAATATACCTGCATCCTTCTAGAAAAGAATAAACTATATACTGGGACTATACTTGAATAACTTTACAATAGCTTATATTAACGACATTCTTATCTTTTTAAAGACCTTTAAAGAATATAAAAAATATATTTATCTTATACTATAAAAACTTAAAGAAGTAAAACTCCTTATTAATCCTGAAAAATGTATTTTTTATTTTTAATAAATGGAATTTCTTAAATATATTATTACTCCAGAAGAAATCTATATAAATCCTAAGAAAATTGCTGTAATTAAAGAATAGCCAATGCTTATAATACTTAAAAAAGTATAAGCATTCTTTAAACTCATTAACTATTATTAAAAATTTATTAAAGACTTTGTATAAAAAGCTACTCTGCTAATAAATATAATAAAAAAAGGTATTTTTTTTAAGTAAGGGGAAGAACAGCAGAAAGCCCTTAAAGAACTTAAAACAGTAATAATATTAGAACCTGTTTTTGCTATATTTAATCTAGAAAAACCCATTATAATTAAAACTAATGCATTAGTATTTATAATAAAAGGAGTATTAAGTTAACCTGGAGAAAACAGTAAGTTATAATCTATTGCATTTTTCTTACATAAACTCCACAGACTAGCGATATAATATACTACATATAATAAAAAAATATTAGCTATTATTAAAGCGCTTAAAGAATAAAGATATTATTACTATAAAAGCAAGCATAAGGTTATAATTCTTATAGACTATAAGAACTTTACTTACTTTATTACTATACAAGAGCTATTAAGCTAATAAGTTAAATATTTTAAATTTTTTTTATAATTTAATTTTAAACTTATTTACTGCAAAAGATTGAAAAATAAATAAGCTAATGCATTAAGCAGAAGAGTTAACCATAAGCAAAAAGTACTTAAGTATATAGCATAAGCACTGCAATTTAATAATAACAGCAATATTAAATAAATATAAATTTATATAATGTTTAAAGTTCTAAAAAGCAACCCTATACTTAAAGAAATTAAAGAATTTATTAAAAATTAAAAAAATAAACAATACCTAGAAAATATTACTATAGACTTAAAATACCTTAAATAATATAGAAAAATTTAAATACCTAAAGAACTATAAAGGAAAGTAGTTAAATATATTTACAAACATCTGCTATACAGACATAAGGGTATAACAAAAACATATAATTAAGTTTTAATATACTATAACATTAAAAAGCTTAAAGAATATATAAAGTATATTATATTACACTACAACATATACTAATAAATAAAAGACAGAAGACATAAACCTTATAGAAAACTATAACCATTACCTATTGCAAAACAACCTTAAGAATCAATTACCTTTAATTATATTATTAATCTACCCTTATTAAAAGAACTATTTATAAAAATACAATATAATAATATTTTTATAGTAGTCTGCCGACTTATAAAGCAAGCCTATTTCTTACTGCATAAAAAGTTACACTCATCAAAAGATTTTGCTTATACCTATATAAAAATAATCGCCGCTGACCATAAACTACCTAAAGAAATTATTTTAAATTAAAGATAAACATTTACTTTTAAATTTTAGCAAAAACTTATAGCTAAACTAGAAACAAACTATAAATTTAATACTATATATTACCCTTAGACAGATAGACAAACTAAATGCATAAATTAAATTATTAAAGTTTACCTATAAGCTTATATTAATTTTACATAAGATAATTAGGTTAAGAAACTACCAGTAGCTTAACTATACTATAATAATATACTATTAAAATCTATAAAAATAATACCTTTTTATATAAACTATAGATTTATGCCTAAAGCATTTAAACCACTATAAAATAGACTTAACTTAAAAAAAGCATAACTATAAGCTAAATTAATAATTAATCTATATAAAGAAATATATATATAGCTTAAATTTATTAATAAGTGCATAAAGAAATATATAAATAAAGATAGAATTATAGAACTAATTCTCCAGAAGGGAGATATAGTCTACCTACTGCAACACTTATAAGGCTATAAACTATTAAATATTAAGATAAATAGGCCAAGTAATAAACTTAATATTAAAAAAATAAAACCTTATAAAATCTTAAAATAAATTAAAGAAGTTAACTATAAGCTAGCCTTGCCAGATACAATAAAAATATAAAACCCAGTCTTTTATATATTATAACTTAAAAAAGCATAAATTAATAAAGAAACCAAAAGACCTATTTTAGATAAAATTATTATAAAAGATTAAGAAAAAGAATATAAAATTAAAAACATTATTGCTGTATACTAAAACCCTAAAACCTATAACATTAAATATCTCATTAAATAAAAGGGATATTTAAAACTTAAAAATTTATAGGAATCTATTAAATACTTTAGTTCTTAGGCGCTAATAAAGAAATTCTTTTAAATACTGGGCCTAAATCAGCAAACACTGCATTCTAATTAATTACATTAACGCTGCTATTAAGCTAAACATCTACTACAGCCTTTAACTTAGCATGCTCAGCCTTATTTAATTTATTTAAACTCTTTAAACTATAATTTACTATTTTAGCACTTTATAATACTAAAAATTCCCGCTAAAAATAAATACAGAATAAATAAAATAAAGCCTCAGCAGCTTTTTACTAATACTTAACAAGCTGCTCTTCAGCCTCCTTCTTTTATAATTACAATCTCTTAAACTTAAAAGTAATATAATTTACTATAAATAATTAATAAAACTATATTTATTTTAAAAAAAAAATAACTTATAAGCACTTAAAAGAACACCTGTTCTATTATAAAAATAACTATAATGCATATACTCTTTATAATGCATTATGCCATCTATTATTTTACATTAATTGCCTATACTATATTTTTTATAAAAAGAATAAGCTATTATAAAGAATCTTAATTCTTCTATAGTAGCAGCTAGGGAAAGGCACTTGTGTATTTTTTAAAAAACTGGTTTAGAAATATAGTTAAGCATTATAAGAATTACAGGAAGTTCAAAAGAAGGACTTACTTAAGTAACTAATGCAGGAAGGGCCCTTTTATAGGCCTTAAGAATAAAACTAATAGAGAGGGGGTATTGTATTATAACCTAAACCCCATATCTATACATTAGTAGCCTAGAGGTATATACTTAAAGATTAACTAAAGACCAACAGACTAATTAAAAAAGAATTACAATTTATAGACACTCTTGTTAAATCACCACCATAAGCCATCGTAAGCCTATACATTATAATCCAACCATAATCCAAATAAAATAACTTACTATATAAAACTATTTATTATGCTTATTAAATATAGCTTAAATAGTCAGTCATTAACATAGCATTTATATAACAACCAGATTAGACTCTCATCTAAAGTTATTAGCTACATAACTAAAACCGCTTATAAAATCCCTTGCATCTCTCTGCCAACATAAACCCAATGTTGAAGGTTTATCCCTTGGGAACTAGTTACCCTATACTAGGTATAGGATCAGAACGTCACAGGTTGGCAATGCCGATTGCATTTATAATTAATTGAATCTGCTGTAACTGCCTAGGCATTTGAAAAACGAGAGAATCTGGTTCCTTTTACTTCCTAGATGCTGGCAACAGCGTTCTTAATGTTTTTTTTATTATTTCTTTTTTAAGAAGAATGAATTTGCTTAGCAATGGCTTGGCTACATTAATAGGCTATAGGCCTGAGCCTAGCCAGCCGGCTCTTGCATTTCTTTCGGTCAGGCCTTGTTGCCAGGCTTAATAATAGCATTAGAGGAAGACTATCTTGCTGTATAGCGTAGAATCTTTAAGGTTAAGATAATCTGCGAGGGCTTGACGATAATATACCTTAATTAGCGAGAAAATTAAGATATTAAGAGGCTGAAGGACATAAGAGCTATATAGTAGTAGAAATAATAAATAAATATTATTTTTATAGTATTTATAAAGGAAATTGTTTATATAGTGGCTTCTATAACTATTAATAATAAGCAAATGCTTTAAGGGCTTCTTTAGCTTTGTCTGTAGAATAAAGATCTCTTTAAGTTACTTAAGGGCAATAGCATTGCTTGTCTAGCCTTTTTTAAATGCCTTAAACACCTAATTAATAAGAAAATAAAGTTCCTTTAAGAACTATTGCTGTTAAACAATTTTTTTTTTAAATATTACTAGCGGCGTTAAAGCTCGCTCAGTTGCTGAGATATACTTGCAAATTGTAGTCTAATAATATAAACCAGGCTGTCTGATTATTATAGCTTTTTTCCCTGCTTGCTTAAGCACTAGCCTGTTGCTTCTACAGCCTTCTAAGATCCCAGTCTTGTCTATATTATATTAGTTCTCCAGCAGGATCTCTTTAATTACTGGAATCTTAAAGTAATAAAAGAAGTCCTTAATGATTTTAATTATAGCTCTATTAATACAGCATAAATCCATTAGCCTACCTCTTATAGTCTTAATTTCTAGATTTTATTATAAAAAGCCTTCTATTTATACTTTTCTAAGTGGTTTATTATTGCCGCCGGCTTTAATAATCTGGGCAGTGAATTTCTTGACTTGATAATGCATTGGGGTAAAGCCTAGGGCTTCTTGTAATAGAATCCAGAGGACGAGGTGTGCTTTCTGTAATCTAGAAAGGCGTTGCTTATGCTTATTTACTTTATTTTACATTACGCGACTATTTAATTGCTTTTGCAGTGTTAACCATAGAATTCCCCAGCGCTCTACAGCTTTTTGCTGTAAAATACCATTTTATATATCTTTAATTGCAGATATAATAGCATCTTTAGAATAAGAAGGCATTTTTCTTTAAAATAGTATATTTTATAAAGGAAAGGGATAAAAATTAAATATAATAAACGCAAGTTGCAAGGTTGAAGTTGTTGTTGTGATTTCCTAAAACGCGTGGCCGACTAGCGGGGGTGGCCGACTAGCCACTAGTCTGACTTAATCTGGATACCCAGAGGAAATATAATCAAGGACTGTTTATGCTGTAGTTGTTTATTAACAAGGATCCCTGGCTGCTAAAACGCCCGGGGGGTTGAATTTTACCTACATAGTATAAAAATTGAGAACTAAAGTCTATTAAATAATATTTACAGATTATTTTCTGGGTCTACTTAAGTTAAATATAAATAAAGAAAGCAAAGAAAATATAGATATATATAAGCTGCAAAGGGCGCTAAAGTTAAGAAAGCTAATGTTCCACTTAGCTAACCCGACATAGAATTTGTAACGCTCTATGCTCCTGCTGAAAGTCTTCGAGCGATGGATACGTCCTTGTACGCCGCACACTCAATCGAGTAGTCAATAGTTAATAGATATTTTCTGCGCTCCCTTTACCTACTCCGCTATGTATTTCAGCCGCAAAGAGTCTTAAATATCCGGTGCAGTGTAATGGCATTGGACTGTGTTTGTCTCTTGGAATACTCAAATCACGGGTTCTTGGATGTGTGTACTTCGAGTGTTCTCAGCTGTCCGCTGCGACGGAGGATCGCACAGAGAGCACGATTTCCAGAAACGGTGATGTGGAGAATAGGGCATGGTCAATGTTCCAGTACCCACCTTCTGCCTCTCTTTGCTGCGCGCTACATTACAGTTGCTCAAGACGCGTGGGCTACATTACATATTCCCCCTGGCTCATTTTAGACTACCTATGTCCTTTACGGTTTCTTTAAAACCTGAAGTGGCCCTCGGAAGTAGAAGCCTGGTGGGAGCTGCAGGCGTATGGAATAAACACCTCCCAGAGAACCGCGATATGGCCCACGGTAAAAGTAACAGGAGACAGATCCTGGCGTATGATATCCACCCTTATTTCCCAATTGCGCGTATTCTGCACGTCCTCAGCTCCACCTGGCTTCTACTTTTGTGTGCGTTCTCATAATTTAGCTCGTTCCAAAGAGAAAGAATAGGCTGACAGAACCTGTGTGGAATCGCCACGCAATCTACTTGCTAGAATCATTAATCTTTTCTCCGTCCGCCCCTTATTTTTCTGCAATAAGGCCCTATATCGCCAGACAGTAACTTGAGAGGGATATCAAGCCAACCACGAGCCCTGACAACGTCACAACAATTACAACGGTAGCCCTATAGTTTCCGAAAAAGCCTTCCAAAATTTCTCTGTTATTCTTTGAGAGTCCTTAGCCTCGAACTGCACGAGCTCTTGGCACTTGACGATCTGCAGAGCAGCGGCAGCGCTAAGACTGTGCGCGCTGCTTTGGAGGGGCACAGCGCGGTATAGCCTTCTGTGTTCTCAGAGTGCCTCTGATATAGGACGTGTCGGCGATGGAGGATAAACCCTTTTTCAAGATCGGAGAGAATAAACCTTACTTAATTGGGTCCCGTTGGCTATGTTCCAAAGCCTTAAACTATGATGTAATTGTTGGAGCTTGGGGCGAATCGGTTGACTATATATTCGATAATGGTAAAGACGAGACAGGAGAGAGTTCATTACCTAACCAAGTCTCATCATTGCAGTAGACATCGGTGTCGGGGTTGGTGAATAGAATGCTAACCGTGTCTGTTGATTCTCGGCTTGTCTTTGCTTCGACGTAACGAGCTGCAACATCATATAGTGGCTTGAAAATACGCAGCTGTCTATTACAGCTGGCATAGCGCGGCGATTGTGCCAGAGACTGTAGACCGTCAACCACTCCCCCCAAGCGGCCCAGGTCCGACACGTCAGCGGTATCAACAATACTGCAGACCAAAATTGTGAAAGGGATAAATGGCGCTAGGAGGAGAATCTCGCTAATCCATTTGTAAAGACCGGCCGGCCATTTTGCTGCATCTGAAAGTATGGCAATGCTGGCTTCGCTCTCTTCAAGGGCTATTCGCGCAGCGGCGATACATTGCGTACAAGGTACTATACCCGAAGGACTCTCTGTCGGAACTCCTCGGTATATGGACGCCAAGGTTGAGTATTCTACAGCTCTGTTGGTGTGTATGATGAACCGTGAAAGATTCGGATCTAGCATATGGCTACTCCACAGGCCTGGCCGATTCTGAGAAGGGTAGTTAGTAAGATTATTTAAGGACTGACTCTGTATGCTTGCTTCTGTTGGGAGTATAGGAGTATAGAAAAAATTGTTTAGATACTTACATAGTATTCGGTTCTCGCGGCTATCATTCGCTCCAGCTCAGAAGCTAATGCACTGGTACGAGACAAGTGAACGGAGCCGGGCTGTATCAATGCAGGCGGACTATATAAGCTATCGTACAAGCAGCCGTAGAGACTAGCTATATCGATCCAGTCAGGCAGCCGGTTAAATGCTAGGGAGGCCATTTTGCGGCCCAAAGTGAGTCGTGGAATGGTGATATCCTGGTCTCTAATAGTCGATGGCCTGCCGAGCCGCAAAGCCACAGTTTTCTCCAGGGCGTATACAGCCCAGAAAAGACACATCTTTCGCTGCACTGAGTTTTCTTGTTCCGTTATCATGGCCTGACTACTATGCAACCCCACGGCCAGGCACATGAGTGAAGCTCTTGAAATGAACGTCCAGGTTGCGGACACTCTTCCCTGATGCAGACAATGAAGAGACTGTATGTTGAAAATCGCAAATTAATACCATGGGAAGCGAATTGCTACTAAGAGGGAAAAACGTACCGCCATGTACAAGGCACAGATAGAGTCAATATTGGTATCGATGTGAAAGGAAAGGTTTGATAGAATTGTCTCGAGGCTCTCCTTGCATATTGTAGCTTGCACATTGTAGTCCTGTATGAGCATCTCGTCATCGGCACCAATCGAGCATTGGGTGAAGAGCGAGTAAAGACCGTAGTGGACTATGATCAGCTCCATATCGCTGATCGGGCCGGGTGTGCAGACTCTGATCACGTACTGAGTGAACTCTCCCAGAGAGCCAAATTCAAATGGCCAGTAAAGCTCGCTCGGAGAGCTCTCTGCGGGATGGTTATCAGAATGAGTGCAACATAAGCTGGAAAAGGAGAGTCGCACCTTGAGCAATCCTGAGGCATGCCATGATTTTATCCACGGAAGGGATAGGCAAATCCCTGAGACTACGACCAGAAGGCAGCACATTTAGAAGAAAACGTGACCCAGCCAGCTCCTCCTCATTTCGCTGCTGTTGATCGTTGACTGTGCTCCGTAAAGTATTCAACGCCGAAGTTATATCGTCCGTGGCCCTAGAATATGGGTCATTCATTACAGCGGTTTCGAGAGCTCCCGCTGCGCAAACGGCATGAGCAAACAATGCGGACTCAATCCCTTCCACTGGAGCTGGAATTTTGGCGGATGCCTGAAGTCTGACAAATTGGAGCGGGCAATATGATGGTGTTCGTAAACTAATCGGGGCCATGAAGCTACTATCGTCATTATTTCGGCCATCTCTAAGTTGACCTATAATTTCGTAGAGCTCCTCAATTCTATTCGAAATATGCTCAAGTCTCCTTTCGCTAATGATTTGTTAATGATTAGATAGATGTACTTGGGGGCGGGGGGAACTAACTATACACTCGAGATCATGACCCGTTGCCGCTTTTCTTTGACTTCATGAGCCAGTCTGAATGTACACTGCACCTCCGCCTTGGTACAATGTGAGCACGGATTAACGCGATTACACTTGGTCTATTGCGCCGGCTCGAAAGTCAGTAGACCAATCTCGGACACACCTCACAGGGGAACAATCTTTGCAGCAGGTAAATAGAATGATCGCACCTTCCGCTGACGGCAACGATCGCACTGTGGATCATGTCAGCATCTGATTCACATGCCACGCGACTAAGGAAAGATTCTCATACTGCCATTTTCTCCTTCACGATAACCTCATGCTCGTCTACTTCATTCCACTGAGAAGCCAGGCCGCCTTCTCCCCCTGCTACTTGGTCGGTGGGTCCGTAATTTGTGCCTCCAGGTCCGGATGACATCATTACAACGGTGTCTAGAGGCGTTCTCAATGCGATCTGGGCAGAGCAAATTGCAGGCCGAATGGTGGAACTGCCAAAAGGTTTAAGTCCGGAATTTTTGGAAGCCCTTCCCGACGAGGTTGCCGAAAGGACAGATTTGCACGCTCGCTGAAATTTCGAGCCATTGCCGGACGCTCGGGAAGCCAAGAGTGCGCAGTCCGAACAGTGGAGACACTCCCGAGGGCCTCATATACTTGACTATTACGTGCCTCTTGTTTCTTGTCTCTTGCTCGTCTTGGACACGATTGTTATGCTTGCATTTCCTGTGATTGACATTTGCGCTTATTAGTCCTTCCTAACAAACACTCCGCCATGAAGTACCGCGGCGTTGTCTATGATGTTGGCCTTAATTTCAATGGCACTGGACTCTCCGTCGAGCCATTCGATCTTGCGCTAGTCAAATACGACATGAAAACAATCGCCGATGACTTACATGCCAATGCCGTTCGGATTGAAGGAGAGGAGATATCTCGGCTGCAGATTGCCGCACGGTTAGCGCACTCGATGGGACTCAAGGTGTTTTTCAATCCGTGGAAGATGAATGCAACCATCGACGAGACCCGCGTATACTTTGAAGAAGCGGCAAAAACTGCAGGAACATTACGCAATGAAGGTATTGATTTGGTATTTATCGCCGGCTGCGAATACACCATCTTCAGCAAAGGTGTTCTCCCTGGAAATTCTTTCAACGACCGTGTAATGTTCCTCGGCCAGCAATTCCCCAGAGGCCACATAACCGAAGATATTCCTCAGGCTCTCCGTGACAAGTCTGTCGAGTTGAATAAGGCGTTGGGGTCTTTCGTTGAGGTGATTCGTTCCCAGTTCGGAGGACAGATCACATATTCGGCTGGCTCCTGGGAAGTCGTTGACTGGAGTATTTTTGACGCTGTCGGCATAGACTATTATCGCCGAGGAGAGACTGCGGAGAAGTATGTCTCATGTCTCGATCGATATAGGGTTGGGAAGCCTCTCGTTGTTTTAGAAGTTGGTTGCTGCGCCTACGAGGGAGCAGCAGAGCGCGGAGACGGCGGCTTCGTACTCTTGAAAGGCACGAATCCTGACGGCACTGGCATCTTCGAGAATGATACTGTCCCAACTCGGAGTGAGAAGGAACAGGCCGATTATGTTGGAACGCAGCTTGAGCTTCTCAATAATGCAGGGGTTGATGCGGCCTTCATATATCTGTTTTCGTTCCCTTGCATGCCGGCAGGAGAAGGGGCGAGGGATCTGGACATGATGTGTTTCTCACTCGTAAAGACCTTTCCCGAGAAGGACTCAAGATCTAAGGATATGCCTCCATGGGTACCAAAGGAGTCTTTCCATCGCGTCGCCGAAGCCTTTCGTTCTATGGAGCAGGGCGACTAGAGCTCCGCAATGATTCAGTGAAATGCGCTTTTAAGCCAGGCCATGCTTAGGAATTAGTATCGCATAGTATCAGAGCAGTCGTGGCTTAGAACAGACTGTGGATTGATAAGCAACTGGGAAGACAAAATAATACGCTGTGGAATATGACAAGTCTGGTAATACCTAAGCGCCACTGCCATAGACGTGATAACGTTCACATGCTCAAGTCGAGGTATACACCCATTTCATAAGACAACAAGTTCATATATTCGGCGTAGAATGCTGTTAACGTAATATTTGTCAAACTGCTTATATTGCTTATAGATTTTCTCTTACCTATTTACGAATATAAACCTAAAGCATACATTCTAAGTTCACCTCTTGGAAATATACCTTATACTATCCAGTGTGTTCTGTTTATTTACCACAGGCAGCTGTTTGCTGACTCTCAGAATACCAAGTCAAAAATAAAGTTGCGGCCACTAACCACAACCCGATCAAACAAGACTTAGATTGACTATAATATGTATCTCACTTACTAATGCCCCTTCGTTCGCATCTCCATTAATACGGGATAATACACCGGTAGATTATGCCAACTCCAAAATTAGTTTTCTCTCACAATCATCACTTAGCAAGTTTGATCATTATGTACCTGCGGCGTAAAAGAACTCTTTTGATGCCAGATATCATCCTTCCAGAGAGTCTCTAGTATCATATTTACAAAATGTTCCAGGCGTACGTACTGCACGAGAATCGGAACGTAGCTGGTCGCGTGCTTGATTATCTGTCCCTGAGCAAGTAGTAGATAAACACAGTGCGTGAGATGCTCCCGCTTTTCAACCCCCCCCCCCCNCCCCCCCTTGGCGTTCTATTAATCTAAATACCTTATCAATGTCGAGGCCATGGATGCATTCGAGGTTCTCGTGATAGGAGAAATTCTCCCTCCGGAACAACCTATTGGTGTAATGAGGGCAATGTTCAAGATACCAAGACTATATCATTCAGGTTTTCACCACTCAATTCAATGTCGTCCGATAGAAACATTGACCCAATCTTCAAGCAAGATGCTGACGTTAAAAATCTCAGGCCAGCTGATTTTAGCTCTTCCAATGTATCGCTCGGAAACTTCGTTTTGCAACAGAGCTCTCGCGAAATTAATCAGCAAATATTGTTTTCCCATACTCGTGTTCTCCCTAACGTCGCTTTTCTGGGGATCCGTTTTTCTTTATGTCAATAAGAAAAATGAATAATAGAGTTGAATTAATTGTATTCAAAGGTCTTATTATATAGATGAGAACTCAGGAGGCTGGACCTCTTATATATATAAAATCTATGTGATCCACGTAGCTAGATCGGACTAGTGCTTCCTTGTTCGACACATTACACCAAACCATTATTAATTACCATAAATAAATAAATAATTTTACATCTATTTTTAAAAATTTACTTCATATTACATATCTAGTATATAATTAATTACAAGATATATTTAATAATGTCCCTCTTTCTTAATGTAGGAAGACTTACTAGAATTCCCAGTAGAAGAAACCTGGAAACTTAAGCCCGGTGCAATAGAAAGTCTCTTTAATTGCAATATCTGCGTGGGCCGAGAGAAAATTGAAGCTCATCATTTAAACTGTAGTGCTTTTACGAGAGGGAAAAGTTGTGTTATTACCTGTAATCTGTACGTGTTGGACCAGCAGCGGTCAAGAAGCCAAAGTCGGCCCCTTCCTCGGCCTGATTTACAGAGCGCTCATATAGCCCCCGATATCCGCGGCTAGACACCCGTCGTTTCCATACTCCTGTCTCTCTGCTTGCCATTTTCTCCAATTCTACAATTGTCTGCCTTTCGGCAATTCTTTGTGCGATATCTCCCTCATCGACCTCGAGTTTTAGAAGTCGTTTTTCAATGTCGCATGTAATAATATCCCCGTCTCTCACCACCCCTAAAACCGATGTGGGAATCACTGACTCGGGTGATATGTGAAGCACAATCGTCCCTCCTGCCGTCCCTGACATCCGTCCATCAGAAAGACGCAACATGTCCGTTACACCCGCGGCCGCCAGTTTCCTCGGTATTGGGATAAGTCCTGCTTCCGGCATACCCGGGTTACCAATTGGTCCAATCCCTTGAAGGACTAGGACGGAATCTTTAGTAACTGAGAGATTTGGATCATCAATGCGATTTGCAAGATCTGCGGAATTCTTGAAAACTACAGCAGGACCGGAGTGTTGGAGAAGACGCCGGTCTTTTGATGCGGATGCCTTCATGACTGCTCCTTTTGGCGCGAGATTCCCACGGAAGATAACTAATGATGAGCAAGGGTAGAGAGGATTTGAGAGTGGACGGATGATTTTTGAAGAGAATGAGAAAGTACAGAAGGGTGAAGTATCAAGCACTTCTCCTAACGTCTTGCCAGTAATTGTCATTGCTGAAAGATGAAGCAAGGGCCGTAAGGTATGGAGTAGGCCGAGCATGCCACCCGCATTATGAAAATCAGTCATATAGTTATCTCCACTAGGCTTTAAATCAATCAATAGAGGAACTTTCCTTCCTATTTCGTCAAAGGTCTCTAAAGTAATTTCGCTGTGGAGATTGGGGTGCCTGTTCACGATTGCCATAAGATGCACCACAGCGTTTGTCGAGCCTCCAATGGCTTGGAGAACTGTAATAGCGTTGAGAAAGGATTCCTTCGAGAGCATTTCTTGCGGAGTGCGCCTGGAGGCTGCAGCTGCTACTGCGTTTGCACCTGTCTCTTCCGCGATCCTGAGGCGAGTAGATGACACTGCTGGTGCTGAAGCACCGCGAAGTGCCATGAAGCCCAGTGCCGCTGTGATACAGGCCATTGTGCTTGCTGTTCCCATTACACCACAAGTTCCAGCCTGTGAATTGTCAGTGAATTCATGTGGCTTGACTTGATTCAATACCTACAGTTGGTGCTAATTCTTCGTTGAGCATGCTAATATCTTCCATATCAATGGTGCCGGCCCTGTAAGCAGCCCAATTGTTTCGGCAATCGGTACACGCCCCAAGACGCTTGCCTTTATGACTCCCTGGCATCATAGGTCCGGTCACCAAAGGTAAAACTGGCTTGTTTGCTGATATTCCACCCATTAACTGAGCAGGGACCGTCTTATCACAGCCTAAAGATGTCAGAATGTAATAAAAAAGTGGTAGCAACCGCTATAAGATCCGGAAAACATACCTCCAATCATAATGCATGCATCTAATGGCTGCGCTTTAATCATTTCCTCAGTATCCATACTCATGAGATTTCTGAGATACATGCTGGTGGGAGAAGAGAATGACTCGTGCACAGAAATAGTGGGAAACTCCACAGCAAGACCGCCATTGAGCTGGACACCTCGTTTGACTGCCTCAATGAGTTGTGGAATATTTGCATGACACGGATTAAGAGCAGAGTAGGTGTTGATGATGCCAATAATGGGCCTAGAAAGGGCATCTTCGCTGTATCCAAGTGCCTTGATGAAGACCTTGCGTAAGAAAAGTGAAAAATGGGCGTCGCCGTAAGATGTCAGCCCCTGACGGAGACCTGAGGTAGAATCAATAGGTTTAAATAGATCATAATCGTCACTGAGCGAGGAATTCGCTGCTTTGTTCGAGAATTGAGCCATATTGAAAAGGATGAGATATGTTTGCGGCGAATGCGATGATGGAATGACATGTGGGGTATTTAAGATCAACCCCAGATGTTTATAAAAAGCAAAGCGGAGGTTCCGCGGTTTGGGCGGGAACTCCGCCAAACTTGAATCGATAAATAAAGTCAAAAAGGCGAAAATTGAGTCGAAAAGCCTCATTCGTGTTCTTTGTCATTACCTAATATTGTCTTTCTTCTTAATCACTACTATACCTCTTAAATCAGTGGAGCCGGCAAATATGTTGAGTCTTGACGGCAAAGTCGTTCTCATCACAGGCCTTGGTCAAAGTCAGCCTGGCGGCTGGGGAATTGGCGCTGCTACGGCGGTTCTATTCGCTCGGCAAGGAGCCAAAGTATTCGGTGGCAACCGCACTCTATCGTCAACCATCTCGACAAAGCAAACAATTGAAGAGGAAGGTGGAGTTTGCGACATATTAGAGACGGATGTCACCTCATCGGAGTCTGTTAAAAGGCTGGTCGATGCTTGTATGACAAAGCATGGCCGAATCGACATCCTCGTCAACAATGTTGGTCGTTCTGAACCAGGATGCCCAGCGACCATGTCTGAGGAAGTCTGGGATTCCCAAGTCGAAATAAATCTGAGAAGTGTCTTCTTAACTTGTCATCATGTCCTACCGATCATGGAGAAGCAGGGAGCAGGGGCGGTAGTCAGCATTGCGAGTATTGCTGGCCTGCGATATATTGGGAAACCTCAAGTAGGGTACTCAGCAACGAAAGCTGCAGTCATTCAGTTCATGAAGGCAACAGCAATCATTTATGCGCCCAAAGGAGTAAGGCTGAACACAGTCGTGCCTGGACTAATGGATACTCCTTACACGAAGAGCCTAGTCGAGAGGTTTTCGAAGGACGGCGAGCATGGGGACTACATGAAGATGAGGAACGCGCAGGTTCCGACTGGGAGGATGGGAGACGCTTGGGATGTTGCCAACGCAGCTCTGTTTCTGGTGTCTGATGAGGCAAAATACATTGTGGGGCAGAAGATTGTTGTAGATGGAGGAATCACGTCTTCCACAGGAAGAGCATGATTAGTTCATAGTGTAGTCTATATCCCACCCGCTTGGAGAAATAATGTCCACATGCTGCAGAATCACTTCCCGCACGGCGCAGAATTTCTAGCCGTATTGGCGTCCTGGCAGCCTAACATTCCTTCCTCTCTGCTCCTTTAACCATCCTTTTCCTAAATAGAATTAGACAACCGCCAAAGTTACTTGTAGGCAAGTGTTTATTCCGGGTTTTCCGAGTCGATAGGCTGCTCCGTCCCTAGGACGGAAAATCCTTCCACTGTTTGAGGAAGTTACCCAACCCCGAATTGCGACACCGGCATGGCCGACGTGAACTCCGCAAATATCCCTTTCCCCAAAATCAATGAATCCAACAGCCGTACCCTACCTTCCCGACAGGAAATTGCCTATTTAACCAATATGTGAGAGTATTTTCCATCTCAAGTTGTGATATCCACTATCCTTCTGTTTCTGTTATTTCACATCATTTCTATACTAAGTGAGTCGCTTGCCGTATCACCTACAACCACGTGCCCACATTCAATTCATCAGCATGGATGTTTCTCAGAGCGAACCCAACTACATTAAAATCACTTCATCGAATGCCCAATCACTAGTGGAGGGTATCCTGATAGGAAATGGCGTATCGAAAGAAAACGCCACAATCATTGCAAAGTGTCTTGTGCTGGCTGATTTACGTGGCGTGGATACTCATGGCATAAATCGAATCCCATCATACATGGCTCGAGTCCGCCAAAGGGTTCTTGACCCAAAGGCGACACCCTTGTTGACTATGGTAACACCTGTTGTTGCTCAAGTAAGTGGCCGACCCCCTCTCCTAGAATGCGGGAGAGCTGACAGGTTTGCAAGGTAGACGGACAAAATGGCTTTGGGTTCCTGGCCGCCCACCAGGGCATGGCATGCGCGATTGAGATGGCAAAAGAATTCGGTATCGGCATGGTATCCGTCAAGCACTCAAACCACTTTGGCATGTCTGCATGGATCGTACAACAAGCCCTCGACTCAGGAATGATGAGCTTGGTCTTTACCAACTCGTCACCTGCTCTTCCGGCGTGGGGAGGGAAGTCCAAACTTATGGGAGTCTCACCAATTGCTTGTGGAGCCCCAGGAGGCAGAAAGCCGCCGTTTATCTTGGATATGGCTCCATCAATTGCGGCTCGAGGGAAAATCTACAAGGCCAAACGACGAGACGAAAAGATCCCACTGGATTGGGCTCTGGACAGCGAAGGGAAGCCAACAGACGACCCTGCAAAGGCACTGGACGGCGTGATGTTACCAATGGGAGGCCCCAAGGGATCAGCCCTCGCCGTAATGATGGATGTTTTTTCGGGTGTCTTGTCTGGGTCTGCCTTCGCTGGACATGTGACAAATCCCTATGACCCCTCAAAACCAGCAGATGTCGGGCACTTTCTCATCGCGATTAAGCCAGACCTATTCATGGGCCTGGACGACTTCAAAGAACGAATGGATTACTTGTACCAACGCGTAGTTGGCTCAGAGAAAATGCATGGTGTTGATCGGATTTACTTTCCAGGTGAGATTGAGCAGTTGAGATATGAAGAGAGACTGCGTGATGGAATACCACTTGTAGAGGCCGAAATTGTAGCGCTGAATGCTGAAGCCCAGCGCGTTGGCGTTGCACTGATTTGAGAGCACGAGTGGACTTGATGCAGTTGATATAATTGGTATGGAAAATTAGAAGTAACTTTAAGGGCAATGTGGCCTTCAACTGCAAGCGTTTTGGGGTTCCCGTACTGAAATCCAGTGGCTACGAGCCTGGTAACATCGAAATTGAGAGCCTGTAAGCTTGACAATGTGCTAGATTTATCAGAAGCCTATATAGCAGCATTCCAAACCTCCTTCCAAACTATAAATACCTATACACCGAGGGGGAACATTACCCCTACGTATGATGCATCTATCGTCAAATTGTCTAGGCTAGTAATGTTATACTCTCTTCTCGACTTGAAATCTATTGTCTCTCTCTCCATCCTGATTCCCCCCTTCCTGCGCTGACGGCGGTGTCGTCAGTCCTTTCAGCAGTGCATTCCCAATCCCTTGACACATATATTCATCCTCTGTGTCAACTTCAAAGTCGAACCGAAACAGATCTTCCTTGTACGGAAACATATATGTACTCGTCACCCTACACTTCGTTAGCACTGCCTCCGCCGCTGCCTTTCAGATATCAGATATACCTATGATGTTCCTTGCTGGCTTGATACTCTGCCAGGGCTTCACGATCGCGATGATAACTGAGAAGCGCAAACTCAAATCCTTTACTCCTTTCAATGGGATCCGTAATCGAGGGTCCCCCGACTATCAAATGGCCGTCTTGAACGCAGGGTAAGGTCTTGAGGGTTTTTAATTCAGAAACGAATTTAGACTTGTGCGCCGAGGAGATATCTGGGCGGAATTTGAAAAGGACTGTAGATACATGATCATTGGCACAAAGCTAGATTTAAGAATTATTAAACTATATACATACCAATGTGAATAACAGTCATCTCGAAGAGGCAAAGTTTGGAAGGGGTGTGCTGTGAGGAGGGAAGGTGTTCTGATGAGAAGTTATGAGGTTGCCAGAATAGAAGGGCTTTGTAGCGTAGCTTTGGTCATTAAATGTTTTCGAATCAGTCGACTAATTATTTACATTGATCTACGAAGGGACGGCTTTAAAATACGCCTCCGAGCTAAGCTGACACAAACGCTGCCATTGCTCGTACCCTATAGATTTAGCGACCAGCCAACTATAATGCCCTGCAGCGATAGCGTATGAACATGCTATAATCCCTAAAAGTGACAATGCCACGGTTCGCTTAGTCAGCGAGCTTATTTTAAGCCGTCGGCGGTTCCGTCTATCGGACTCGGTGCCAATCGGAGCTTCCGCGGCGACGCCACAAGTAGGGAAACAATCTTCAACATAACCTCCCCCCTTGGACTTACTTCTGTTCCCCGCCTTCATTCTTTCTCTTGCTCCGTCTTCTCATGTCAGACATTCAATATACCGAGCAAGCGCAAATTCCGTTGAATGATGATTTTATCGCCTGGCTCATCTCCCGCGCTCACGGTAGCGAATGCTGTCAATCCCGTCCAAAAGGCTCCGCAGCGCAGAACCCGTAAAACCCTCCGTATTCGAGTAGCCTGTTTGCGTTGCCAGCGCCGAAAAATACGGGTACTATCGCTTCTTCCTTCTCATCCTGCTATCAACCGTTGGTTCGAGCTAACTTGGGCGTAACCAGTGCGATGGAGCCGTTCCTTCATGCGGGTCTTGCTCAAAGACAGGTGTTGAATGTATCGACGGAGGGAAGTTTGACGGCATTGAATCACCACGCGCGTAAGTTTTCGTATTCGTATATTTTTTGGGCTTTTAGCTCAAGTTTGATGTGCCTGTCCAGGTATATTTCGAGTCTGGAGCGTCATATCCAGTGGCTTAGGTCTGTCGTTCGGACAAATTGCCCAGACATTGATTTGGAGCAAGAGCCATCTGTTATGAATGAATCCTGTCAGGACGATCCAGCTACTGAACGAGAAAGCACCCAAGATGGCCTGTCACTGGCTCAACTGAATCCAACACCAGCGAACAACAGCGCTCTTGCACCTTCTGATCCGTCTTCGTCAAGTCAGAACGTGCAATCGACACATGACGTCTCAACGATTCAGCATGAGCAGGAAACCGGGCTTGCACATGAGATTGGTCTTGTCTCTTCATGTGCTGGGACCGATCCTAAGTATATTGGCCCTTCAAGCGGCTACTTCTTTGCGAAGTTAGTCCTCGCATGTGCGCAAGAAGGCCAACGAAACCCACCACCGAAAGAGCTTCAGCAAAACCCAGATAGTCGTACAGCCCGTCTACTCCCAAAGGGAGGGTTATCAATCCCTCCTGCACCGTTGCCATCAGACATGGACTATGCTGTCAAGATATCAGAAGCGTACTTCGAAACGATCCACTTACAGTATCCTTTCCTTCATCAGCCATCCCACATGAAACTTATTGAGCACGTCTATGTTGAACCGGAGCCCAATCCAATGGCTGCATTCCAAGTGTATCTCGTCTTGGCCATTGGAGCAACAGTCCTCTCCCGACGCCTGAAGATTCCTCTCTCTGGCGAAGGCTTCTGTGCAAGTGCAATGAAATATTTCGATAAGTTGTGTATCGAAAATTCTCTCAAAGGTTTACAAAGTCTCCTATTGCTGCTCGTATACACACTAAATAGTCCTTCTATGGGTCTGAACGTGTGGTATCTCAATTATCAGTGTATAGCAGCGTTGCTAGATCTGGGGCTCCAACGAGATGTGAGATCTGGTAAGAACATGTCAGTGCTTGACCAAGAACTGAGAACCCGAGTCTTTTGGGTTATCTATTGCCTTGATAGGTCTGTTGCAACAATGATGGGCCGCCCCATTGGATTGAGAGATGAAGCCTGCGAATTGCGAGTGAGTCATGTCTTCAAGTTCTGATGCAAAATTTCTGACATTCAAAGCTGCCTACAGATGTGGAAGACAGCAAACTGACCGCAACGGGCATTCAACCTCGGCTGGAAACCGAACAGCCAACACAGATGAGCAGCGCGATCCATCTCTTTAAGCTTGCACAGCTAAATTCCGAAATCAAGTATGTTCTCCACAGTATTTCTCATGAGGTGCCACCATATGCCTACCCAAACATTCCCGATGTACTCCAGTGGCAAAAGGGAATCATAACAAGACTTCAAGCATGGGTAACCCAAATACCACAATTTACCGGCGAGCGGATATATATGACCCATCTCTGCGAGATCAAGTATCATGGTATTATGATGCTTCTTTTACGTCCCAGTCCAGCAATTCCAAAACCATCGGTCCTTTCACTCAAGTCTTGCTACGAGAGCGCCGTTGCAAGTATACGACTATATAACCAGCTTTATAAGAGAGATCTCTTGGTTTATAGTTGGGTTACCGTTCATTCTGTTTTCTTGAGCACAATCACCATGCTTCATTGCATATGGACTGTACCCGAAGTATCTGCGCAGATCAAGCTAGAAATCTTAATGGCAGATTTAAAAGCAGGTTCGAATGTGCTTAGTGCTACAGGCGAACACTGGTCAGAGGCAAAGCGCAGTAGGGACATTTTGGACGAGCTCTCAGGCACTACGATCCGCTGGATCATAGAATCTAGAGCGCGCAATTCAGAAATCGGAACTCGCAGTGGCATTTGTACAAAGGACGTTGGATCCTCTAATGGCAACAGTAGTGTCAGTAAAGCTCAACCTGCGACTCTATCAATGCAACAAAACGACAATTCCACGTTATGGAACGATGGAGAGGGCCAGCATATCAGCTTCAATCAGTCACAATCACTTGACATGAACTTCGACGGCCAATCCTTCGAGCCCGGCTTTTATAACTCCCTGTTCGGTTCCAGTACTCTCACCGATCAAATTGACTTTACTAGCCCCGCTGCTGTTAATGCTATCATGCACGGCGTCTTCACAGACTTCCAACCCATCTATGACACTGGACAAGATTTTGGAATGGATTAGATTATAGATAATTAACATTAGTAATATATACTTGGCTATTTAAGTTATATAAATCACTACAATAATTATCTATATATCTTTAATTAACTTAGTAGCTTATATAATTTATTTTACAAGCTTAATATATTTAATTACTGAGTTAATAAATAAGTTAGTAAATTGCTTATAATTAGTTGGCTTATTATAAATTTAAAATAGCTTACCCTGTAGCTTAGTCGGGTTATAATATATAAGTAAAGCTATTTATTTCTACTTCAATATCTCAAGCCCTCTTAGATATTTAAGTATATAAAAGATATAATAAAGATTTTAAGCATGCGGGGAATTATTAAAAGTAGAGATTTATATATAACCGAAAGCTTGCCTGGCTAAGGGGCTTACTTCGCTAGTATTAAAATACTTCTATTACAGAGGACGACTGGCAGCCAGTTTTAGGTTACGAAGGTTAGAAGGCCCTGACCTAAAATATTTAATTTAAACTAACTAGCTAATTAAAAACCTAACTGAAATTAAATATATTTCTAATTTGCTAGTAAATTAGATTTTATTAATTTTTATTATTAAATTATTAACAATACAAATATATAAAAAAAATAGCAAATATTATATAATTGTATATATAAGTTCTATTTTTTTTTATTATATTTTTATATAATCGTATAAACAATATTTGACTTTTTTATATGTAATACAGGGTAAGTTTCATTCTAGCATGTGAACAGCAGTTGGCAGCAGCCCCAAGATAGATTATGCAGCTAGTAAGAATGACCTATCAAGGCCTGCAAATATAAACTAGGGGTCCTAGCTAGGCTTCTCCAGTACCTAGTTGTAACTGGCTAACTAGATGTATTAGATCAGGGCCTCAATGCTGGGTTTCAACTGCCCAGCTCCAACATCACTGACTAAGAGATTGTACCGTTGACTTTATAATTTTCCAATACTATAACTATACAAGGTACAGTAAGATAGTTGCTCTTCTGAAAACCACGGACGCTACAACTAAAATAGAGATACTGTAGCGAGCACTTAGACTGAGTCTCCCAATCTGACCTGAGTCATGAATAGCTTGGGAGAGTTAGACAACGTCTGCATACCCAGCGTCTGAATGCGAGACTGATAAATGAGGCTGCTGAGTTTGTGGCAAGCAATTTGGAATAGCTGACTGAGGACTCGTCAGCGCTTGATCAGGTGCCCGTTTAATTGAGTTTGGCCTACCTACTAAGTCCGGTGGTTGCGGCATTTCCGCACCCGCTGTTTCCACTTGTTCTTGTTACAGCCGATGTTGTAGTTGCGCACGTGGCTGGCGTGCCGATTACCCGTCAAGCCACGACACTGAATGATTGCGCCAAAAGAATTGGATTAAGTCGCACACATATAGACTGTCGGATGTCGTTCAATCTTGGCATCTTGTTGGAACTTCTGGTCCAATTCCACAGTTGATTATTGTTACACCATGACGCCCTCCGAAGACGCGATAGCCAAGTTCATCTCCTGCGTTCCAGATGCCGATGAGGGCAAGGCTTGGGTCTTTTTGGAGGTAAATGCTCAAAATTCGAAGTCAGTAATCATAGGTGCTGATTCTGTGGCAAGGGGGCAGTGAGCATAGACGAAGCTGTGGAGGAATACCTCGATAACCCGGGAAAATATTTACAACCTGAGCCTAAGTCTCTCAAACAAGCCAATATCGTCCCTGGCTCGGTCAGTGAGGCGCCTCCGACATACCACGCGCCATCACATAATTTCTCCGACAACGGCAGAGAACACACCGTCCATCAACATCTACGGCCACACACGAATAAAGTAATTGAGGCGGCGAGGATACGCGCCAGAGATGAGGTTTGCCTGCGCTTCCCCCTGACCTTCTACTGAACTCCAGTCTCATGAGCCACAGCAAGAAATGCAAAATATTCTCCAGAACGTGCAGCTGGCACACCGCATATTCAATAGTGACATCGAGCCAGAGCATGATGTGGACACCTTCTGTGGGTGTGACATTCACCAATACAAGGGTCTCAAGGTGCGACGACTTGACGTGCAGAATAGGTGGTCAGAAGCCGTCATGTACCCAGGTAAGAGACGTCAGACATTCTCAGGAGCCCTCGAATGCTCATCCAGATTTTCAGGCGAAAAGTCATATCATGACTGCTACCAGACAGGGTTTGGTTACTTTTCCAAGAATCCGTATAGAATGCGCGTCATATCGCCGTACGGCAACTTTAGTTCGAGCTATATAGGTGTGGCGCGCCCCATAGCCAGGTATTACAGTCTTTCAGTTCATCAAACTATTAGCTTGAATGCGCAACTCAACGAAGAGGCCCAGTCGGCCATCAATGCAAGGGAGCCAAAGATGAATGTTTGGGACCTTGAGAATCCTGATATCTCACGGTCAACTGCAGCCAGCGAAGCTTCTGCGACATCAACAAAAAAGGGGGATGAAGGACTAGCCAGAGACAAATCTGAGAAAAGGGGTGAACAAAGCTCAACGGATGCAACGGTCAATGGGAACAGCGAAGCATCTTCATCCAGCAAACCATCAAGATTCATAACGCTAAAGAAGGCCTTTTCAATCAAGTCTCCCGAAGAGAAAGCAGCCATTAAGCTAGAAAAGGCGCTAGACCAATGCAAACAATTACATGACGAGATCTTACAGGAGGAAAATGGCAGATGGCCAGACGCCGAGTGGCGACAGATCGTGGCCACCTACCAAAGCAAAGTTGGAATGGCTAATACAATCGCCCAAATGCGCCAACGCAGCCCCATTCAATATCTTCATATGCTACGAGCAGGCTACTTTGAGCCAATTCCTGTGGCGTGGGCGAACCAAATATCCAACCCGCTCAAGTTCACGGTTGACGCAAGTGCAGGGTGGAGAGGCATTACACCAGCCTGGAGGGGCTACGACGATACAGCAGAAGAGAGACTATACTGGGTGTTGAATCACAGAACCGGCGCCGGACGGAGGCTGAAGCCCGACATAATTTCCGCGCTAGACATGGCCCGACGAAGGATGGCATCTGCCGTAGAGCCACCCCCGGCGTATTTTGCGGCAGACGACACTTGCCATCTACAGCATACCTCTGACGGCTATTCTAAACAAGTTATGCCTCCGCCATTTCGACCCTATGACGTTCCAGAGACTGCGTCAGACAATAGCGTGATATTGCTAGACGTATCTGGCTCGATGGACTTTGAGCCAATGCGCCCATTATACGACGAGTATCTCATAACAGGATACACTCGATCTACTCAACCCAAGAATAAAGGTGGAGTATTCCATCTCGCCTAACAAGCCAGCGGTTGCTAACTACACTCATTCTATTGCAGATACAGCCAAAGCCATCGTCCGCCGATTCACAGACGCCCTTGCCAACCACGATCACAACTTTCAGGGCTACCAGCTAACCACATTTTCCAACCACGCAGATTACATTGGCACTCTGAACCACCGAAACTTCGAAGAAGTCTGGAGAATGGTCAGATTCGGAGGTGGCACACGCGTTATGACGGGGTGGCAAAAGATCAAAGAGCTCCATTTTCAAAAATACTCAGCATCAGCAACCTATCACCCGGTATACGGCTGGCAAGCGGGACCGGAGACCCCCATTCTAAGAGTCCTCCTGCTACTAGATGGAGAGGCCCAAGACATGGACGAGTTTGAGCTTGATCTACTAGGTCTCTCATGGGTTCATGTCACTATATTCTTGGTCGGAGTGGACGGCTGCCCGCATCACCATCGGCATGCCAATGAGTTGCAGAGAATAAGCGAAGTCAACCCACACGTGTCTTTTGTTGATGCACAGGGGAATACGCCGGAAAGGTTTGTGACTCATGAGCTGCTGAAGAGGCACTTGGGTTACGATTTGTCCATGCAGGAGTTTGAGGAGATGGAGCACCCGCCGGCTTATATTGCATAATTTCAAGTTGTTTTTTTATTATTTATAAACCCGTTTTATAGTTTTATAAAAAATAAAACAAAGATTCCTTATAACTAATATAAATATAAATTATAAATTATAAATCTAACAATCCTGCTTAGCATGGTAATTTGCTTTAATAGCAGGCTAGGTACTAGGTATGAACCTACAGGTACCTACCTAGGTATCTAGTAGATGTTTACATTCATACCGTACCGGTGTACTCTGCCTTTGCAGACCCACAAACGACGACATTTCCTTGGCGATTGACCGACTCTGGAACGGCGTAGGAAAAGGACTCGTTTTAGTATAACACAAAGAGGCCTTAGAGAAAACATTTCTTATGTAGTAAAGAAAACTCCGTTGAAGGAGTTTGGTGAAATTTGCCTGTGTATGGATCTTGCCGCTATTTGTGTAGTCTTCGGCCTTTTGACGCTTCCAAGGAACGAGAGGCATTCTCCGTTTCCACCGCTTCGAGGCGCGCGGTTTCAAACCAACTCAACATCTTCTAAGTCTTCCAGACGCCCATTCCAATCCGGCCATACTTCACCCATGAGAGCACCGCTTAGCCAACATGGAGCTACTAACGTGTACTTGTCTGGGCGGCCAAGACTTTTGCGAATGATGTATGGCAGTTTCTCCCCCGTAAGCAGTGCAACCTCGTCTTCTGGACATATGACCAAAGTTGACATTCCGATCCTTCCACTCTCCGTCTTGAAAAGCGACCTGCCACTGACCAGCTGCAAAAACTTCTCGGTAATATTCCGAGAATCGCAGATATTTCCCCCATGCAACCCGTAATCCCAAAGTTTCTCCATACCAAAATTGTCTTCTGTCCATATTAATTGAAACCAAGCAAGAACATCTCCTGCATTCAGTTTGGTCATTTCAGATATCAGCCACGCTAGCTGATGCATGCTAGGATCCTGGTTGTTTGCTACTCCAGTTGAATCTACCCATTCCCTAAATATCACAAGGGCCTCTCTCGCGAGATTGAGATCTAGTGTGCGCGACCACGGGGCTTGTAGTGGTGCTATAGTGGGGAACCGTTTACTGATAGCTGACATAGCGCTATCAACTAGCAGTCCTTTTAACTTGAGCACTTTCGTATCATCTCCCTCTGCTATAATAGCCTTCTGAGAAATTGCCGCTGGCGTAAACTTATAGATCCATTCCGGTATATCGACAAGTGCTGTCCATGGCGGCACCCAGGTAGGAAAACTGTCCTCTCGATCAGATTGACAAGCATACCTGAAGAATTCAACGTTCTGAGTCTCCTCCAGAACAATACGGGCGGCTTCTGTATAGACATCGCTGTCAGAGACTGAGTAGTCGATGGTCAATGCACCTAGGCTTTTAGGAAACATGGCTCTCATGGCAAACAATTTGTCTTTGGCTATCGTTGCTTTCGTCTTACAAAGAACATTGAAGATGTGTTTGCCAAATTCTGCCCGCGTGTGAGTGTGGTATATGTCAAGTATGTGTAGGCCATAGCGCTGGTTTGGTTTGCTGTTGTTAAGAGAGCTGAAGATATACATAGGTGGGATCATATTATGGCTCATGTAAAATAGATCAAGTCGAAACGGTGCAGATGATCCGCATAGAACAAAGCACAATTCGTTCGCGTTTGCTTCTTGAACCGTCCATGCTCTCTCCCAATACTCCATGGATGCCAAGTCTGCCAAACCAGCTTGAAACAACTTTTTATGACCTAAAAGAGTGTTAGTTAGTTAGGAAAGCTGAAAATGGAGGACAACAGACTGCCCTACTTTTGAACGTGGGTAACAGCCCAAAAGGAAATATGACTATGGCTCCAACAAGCATCATGATGCATGCGCAGACACATGACATGCTTACTGCTGCTATCCCCAAAAAGAGCTTTATAAAGATTGAATCCACAGACGTAATAGCTCCCGCAAACTTCGCCTGGGGTTTCCAAATTCCGGAAAACGACCAACTGTACCATCTCAGCCACTTGAGGGCGAGAGCAGTTGATTCAGTTCCTTGGCCAAGCCAAATATTGACGCACGTTGCATTGGCATAGATTTCAAACATTAATTGCACTTCTACCGCCTTTTCTCTGTCATCTTTTTGGTTAATACAGATGGCATCAATCCACAGATTGCGGGAAAGTTCTGGCCTTTTTGGGCGTAGTCTCCTCATGACATCCTCCGCATTTCTAGTGACGAGATACTCTTTGCCATTGGCATAGACAGGTCGGTCGAGTGCTTGCCCAGACCATGTATATGAGATAGCCTCATAGGGCAAAGACGCATCGAGAGACACGGCGATGAGATCGAACCGAATATCGTCGCTGAGGTTAGTGGCGCCATAAAGTTTGATGACCCGAATGCTGCGCGAGTCGGCGAGCTCGGGATAAGCCTCCAACACAGCCATTGCATGTTCATTCGTCACGAAGAGAATTGAAAGATTATGAGGTTTTGAGGCTTGGTGAAAACGGCAGAGATGTGAACACGTTTGGCTGGACACAAGTTGGTGCGTCCTAGCTCCACAGTATTGTCAGTACTAGTCCCAACAGCTTGCGCTACCATAAGCTCGAGATGCTTATAACAAGATACTGAGAATAGCTCGCATATATTAAACATCAATCAACCATACTAAGGATACTTGTAGGAAAGCATATGACCAATAAACTATATGACTTGTAACTCTACAGAGTATTTATAAAAGGCTGGGCTGTAATAATTATTAACACGCAGTATCATGTCAGCCCTGCTGGTCTTACTAGTATAACCTAGTAATTTACCCCGCTTTCTCTCTTTACTATAATATTGGTGCATGTGCTGGTTAAGTATTATTAGTAACTATATATTATTTGCATATTGGTATATTATGTACAGTAGTATATATTATAATTATATAATATAATTAAATATAATGCATTATTTATTAACTGACTGCCTCTTGTACCATTTCTCTTGCTATAGAATTGCAATAGCAAACTAGTTTCTATTAAACCGTATTTCCTACTCCTACTACCTGAGTGACTTGATTTGGAATTACCTGTAACCATGGATATTGGCGCCGGATTCGATATGGACCCTCCTTTGTCTAAAGAAGTTGTTGACAGACAAATCCGGGGACGTTTTATCGACTTCATCAAAGAGTAATATAAAGATGACATCCGGGTCGAGATAAAGCCGAATTATATCAACTTCAAAGCAGGAGAACATCCCAAGCTTCCCTTTGAGGGCCATAAATTTGTGCGTTTCAGTCCGAAAGTCTCAGGGGCCATCGCGAGTAGATCAGGAGTGAAATGTTATATTAATACAGTTACACGTGTTGCGAGGGCGCATTTTGGTTCGCGTGTTCAGTGTTGGAACGAAGGTGCCGACCAGTATGGTGTCCATGACTGGAAGAAAGTCCACGAGTCAATCAGGTCTTATGAGCAGGTACGTGGTGATTGTACCATGTTCTTGGTTGATGAACAGTATTCTCATACCTTATTTGCAGCTGGGTGAACTCGAAACTCCGACTAGCACCACCCAACTCCTTAATAACATCGATCCTATCAAAGATCTAGGCATTGCACTATTCGAGATTAAGGATATCCCGGCAAAGGTAAAGGTATCGTTGCCCGGTTCAGCATATCTAAAGGCACACAAATTATTTGCGAGAAGCCATTTCTCATAACTGTACTTATGCCTCCTGACAAGCTGGAGTCGTTTCTCGCGAAGAAGTTAAAGGCAATGTCAAAAGCATCACAACGGCAGTTCTTTTCTCTTCACAACAACTTCCATGGGAAGTAACCATTTAGCGGCATCTTCAGGACTAATGCTCTGCCGTGTGGATTCGGGTCGCCCATTGGCGTCGTATACCCCACAGCGTGCTTCATCAACCACAGCTGTATCCCGAACTCTCACAACAACTGAAATAGCGCCAAGAAGCACAAAACCATCTACGCCATTCGATCAATTGAGAGAGGAGCAGAAATTACAATTTCCTATGATCATGGGGGAGCCTCAAGGGAACGACAGGTATTTTTGAAAGACCCTTTCGGTTTCCGATGCGTTTGCAGTGGTTGCTAAACNGCGACTTACTTAAAGCTAGCGACAACTGGCGTAAACAGATCCAGAGTCTCGATAAAGCCATTGGCGATCCATTTTGCATGATGAGCAGCCCATATGAGAGCCTGATCGATTGCTATTTAATGCTTCAAGTTCTGGAGCAGGAGCTTGATGGCTGTGCTAGTGCGATGATTGCTAGGCTCTACTACGACGCTTTCCACATTATCATCGCGCATGGGGATCAAGCGCGGGCCAGTATGTTTGCAGAGAGAGCTTATAAGGCCAGGGTTATCTGTGAGGGTGAGGATAGTCCAGAGACACTGAGGGTGAAGTCTCTCGCAGTAAAGCCAGCAGATCATAACTAAAAGATGCCACAGCTAGTTCTGATTATGCGAATATCCTATCTTGTCGATCTGAAGGTCGAGTTTACTCAGTTGGTTGGAAGGACACTCGGCTACACACATAAAGTTCTTACAACTAGCTAGTTCAATTCATCGTGATTATTAACTCAGAGTACACAACCTCAAACTTAAACTATGGCAAATTTAACTTCATGTCAGTGACATGAGACAAAAAAGCAGGATTCGGGGCCGAATTGTCGTTTCTCTCTTTTGACACCTATGTAAAGATCACGATAGCTGATAGATAGATAGCTAGGCAATAGCGACTGAGTGTTAAACCCAAGACTAAGATTGTCTCTATACATGTAGATACGGGTTACCCTGATGAAAGCATCCATGTAGCCTTCTCGTCATAGCAAAATGTCATCTTGGCCCAAACGCTTCCACAAACTGGGCTATGTCGTGAATGTATAAAGGTACTGCGTTCATTCACTGTTCCTGGAATTGCCGCCTTACGGTTAGCTATATCTACGGCAAAAGAGACATATGGGAAATGCTTGTTGATGCTAGGAATGTCATGGCAGTTCGCGAAGAAACGCACTGCGATAACTGGTCCACTCGAGCTTTGACTTGCGCAACTCGTTGTGGAAGGACTGTTAGGACGCTATTAAATGAGATCTAAGGTAAGAAGTTAGGTCATACACTAGAGTGCTACCTTTTTTTGTTACTTATTGGCGCAAAAATATGTTTCGCTAAGGATTGCGCCCCAATTACTTGCAATGAACCTTTTAACAGACTGATCAAGGGTCGTTTATTTGGAGTAGCTTTTTACATTGGAATCTAAGGGATGATTGTTACAGTAATAACATACGATTGTAAGCTATGATAGATCGTGGACACTATAAATGCATCTAAAAATGTAGGAATACCTACTTGCTTTCGCCTTAACTTCGTAACGCGCGCCGTGGACTAGCAAGTTCTTTCAACAGTCTTGACAAATCCACCAGAACCGACATTAAAAAGCCATCTTACCAAAAGGCGTACGCTTGTGTATGGAAATGGTAGAATGCAACGTGATTAAATACTTACTGTACTTGTGCTGCAATCAACGACGATTCTACAACAGCCAGTCTACAGCCACTAGAGTAAATCGTCCGGGCGTGATGCATGGTTTTCTTTTGAAACGCTTCTATGATTGTTGGGTTAAAAACGTCTGCGCTGTCCAGCATAAGTAGATGCTCAGGATTTCGCTAGGAGTTTTAGTGCATTTTCTTTATTATGCGTAGAAGGGCATTGTATTTTCATTTATATTATCAGTATAGTAATTAGACGCTATAGATGTATTATGCAATGTTACGGCTATATTCAAAACTAATGCCTCTTGTTGTTATTGTTGGTCCTCTCTATTCTCCGTTTTCTGGTGTGCGGGGAAATCTTCTGCTTCCCTGTTTCCAGACAGCCATTTGACAGAATATGAATAAGTTGCATTGATTTCCGATCAAGCCATTCGGCTAGCTGGTAACTGCAAGGCTGAAAATAGCCGGTCCCTAAAATTTAACTCTAAAACGCCCAGCATAGATAAGTACGGGGTTACAGTGTATGATTCCCGCTATTATATTATAGCAGCGGATGGTAAATGCATGCAAAAACACAAGGACTATTCTTTGCCATGTTGAAGCAACCTTATTACATGTACTCTAATCACTGATTTGTTTACACAAAGCCACAAGAGAGGAACCATTACGAGACTTCAATTAGGCGAAACGCTCAGCGTTACTTCACAAGCTATGTCTCAATCCTGTCATGGTGCGAGCCAACCAGACTCGCATGAATTGATCTCGTTTGATTGTTTTAACTGCTCGGCTCGCCCGCGATCCCAAAATACCATACTAAACCACCTCCAAGATTCAAGTGCACTTTTCGCCTGTTCGTAGTCTTGTCTGGCGGAGGTGCCTTTACTAGGTCACAGCCCCACCTAAAGGTTTCGTGCCCTCCAAGCGCATCCTTCCAAGCCCAGGGCTGGCTGCTCGTACTCGTTTCCTGTCCAAAGTCGTCGGAAGGAGTATCGCAAGCCGGCTATTGGTTGCTATGTGTAGAAGACGGTGTTGTATAGTAGTGACTTCCCCTGAACATTTTGAAGAGGCAATAGGTTGCAGATAAGCGGCTGCTAAAAATCCCCTGTTCCTGGCATAAACTGTCGAGTAGAGAGCTATCTGAATCGAGAACACTCTTCATCTTTTCTTGGCGATTTCCCCGAGCTCAGGGGCGCAATGGTTGAACTCCCAGCCTACTGGAGAGCGCTCTCCACTGGGACCTCGCTTCCTCCTCTGGTAGTCCGCCAGCGATACGAGGAGCTGGCCCAGGAAATAGTCCGTATCCGAGATGTGTTCCAATTCTCATGAGTGAAGGAGCGAGAAGACTGTTCTGATGAATCGGGGCTTATCTCGGGGTCGAGAGTACCTTCCACCCTTGAAATACACGAGCAGTTGACGGCGCAGGAGAGCTTGTGCAATCTGGTTATGTTCAATCCGACTTAGAGGAAGCTGAGAAGGAGGAAGATTTGCCTGATTTAGATCCAGCTTCTGCGCAAAATATCGAAAGCGAAAGTAGCAGAAGAGGTCGATAAAGAATTGTGTGAGCCGAGTGACATGGGTCAGGGCAACTGCAGTGTCGGCATCTATCGTCGTCAACCATGGTGCGCTAGCGACACGCAAGCGGGCTTCATAGTCTTGGGCTGCTGCGTCGACTTTGTTGGCGAGGTCATCGTGGGTTAGGGCCTCGAATCGTGAGGTTTGTGCGAGTAAAGCAGCGTCCCGAGTTGCAGGCCCGAGGATGTTGCTAGCAACGTGTCGGAGCACGGCGGGCTTGGCGGGGCGAAAAGCATGAAGCAAGATCGGCGATGTACGAATACTAGAGGCAAGATCGCTGAAAGAGTTGCATGCGGATAGAATTGCAATCAGAACGTCGGTATTGAGAAACTCTAGCGTACAAAACTGAGTGTGTTTATTCATAATAATAGAAGGTTGAAGAAGACGGGAGGTAACTAGACATAGACAGCGGGTGTTTTTACGTGTATATTAATACCCCGCAGTGAAGCGGAGCGTTCTAAGGCGGTATGCGCTCGAGTGTTTTATTATACGGCGTACTTTACAGAGAGACATACCATTAGTGGAGATATAAGTTGCACCCAATTTCACAATATTACAATGGTTTAGTTATCAAGCGAGATTGCAGGAGCAGATTTCAACCAGCAATACATAAAAAGTCGTGTGCTGTATAACTGATTCAAGATTAAAGTACACAGACAGTTGTATGTTCTGTAGAGATCTATTACAACTATTCGTTAATATACTAGCTGCACCTTTTACATAGATATCCTCTGGGCCATCTTCTTCAAATCATAGATCCATCACTATTGTCAGCGCATATTTAATAGAAGTATCTGTTAGACAGTACAAATAACAAAGCTATCCTTCTTTTCTCCTGACCAGAAAGATCCTAGTGTATACTCAAGTTTGAGCTTATCGCCTTCTCCATACACTCTGACTGAACCCCTAACCGCCCATACATCAATACCCAACGTGACACTGCTATAGAGCCCGGCCGTATAGCTACCACCAATAGGGGATCCACCAAATGTCGGTCCAATACAAATTTCCTTATCATCAAAATCAAAGTAGCCAGAGAACCAATCGAAAAAGCCTTGTAATGATGGCAGAGTCCAAAGCGCCCGCAAACGCTAATTCAATCACAGTCAATGGACGCGTGGTTGAGCCACAGGAGCACTACGCTAGAGACGCTGAAGGAACAGACCATATCGTCCTCACCCTTTATGACAACATTACTCCCGACCAGTATTCGGAGCTCGAGGAGCTGAATGTGCACTTCCAAGAAGATCTGGGCAATTTTACGTATCTATGCCGATATGAAACTCCAAATCTGGCGCCACTCTGCCACCCCGAATGGGTGCGACAAGTCGTCGTCTACCGCAACAAGTTCAAGATTCCAGAAGAGCTTTCAAACTTCGTCCGCGCAATCAAAAACTCATCAATGAGCGATAATGATGACGAAATATTGATCAATATTATGCCGCATCATGAATGTTCCGATTTCGCTGGTCTCCTAGAACTTGCTGCCAATGTAGGTGCTACAATTGGGGCAAATCCGAATGATGTTAAAGTCTTGACTGGCAAGGTACAGGTCGAGGTCAAGGCTGCGTTTGTCGAAGAGATTGCAAGAGACAAGCATGTTTGGGTTATTAAACAAGTTATGGTTCCTTATTTGGCCGACGATCAGGCAAATAAAATAGCCCTCGGTTCGGTACAATCCATGGATATACAGAGTTTCCATGGCGATAACCAAACCATTGCTGTCATTGACACAGGGTTTGACCTTGGTACGCCCAGCGACTGCCACCTTGCTTTCCAGGGTTATATTTAATATTATTATATTATTAATAATTAATTATTTAACCTATTTAATAAATATATATATATATTTTTATATAATAAATTATATTTATAAAGTTAACTAAAGTTAATATTAGCTTTTATTAACTTGTAATATTTTTATCCTATACCTAGTATAGGGTAGCTAGTTCCCAAGGGATAAACTTTAACATTAGGTTTATATTAGCAAAGAGACACTAGATTTTATAAGCAGTTTTAAGTTATATAACTAATAACTTTAAGCAAGAGTTTAATTTAATTATTATATAAATACTATATTAATAATTAACTATTTAAGCTTTTATTTAATATATATAATAAATAGTTTTATATAATAAATTATTTTATAAGGCTTACTTTATAATATATTTAAATAACTAATAAACCTAGTACTTTAATATTATAGGCTTACTTTATAATATATTTAAATAACTAATAAACCTAGTACTTTAATATTATAGGCTTACTTCTATAATATTTTTTTTAAAAATAAACTATTTTTTTTTTAGCTATAATTAACTATTAGCCCTAAGGTTCTTCTAGAGGTATATACTTTATAAGTTTTATATAGTTGGTTTATAATATAATTTCTTTTATAAGCTGCTTAAGGTTAACAGCAGCTTATATTAACTTTTATATAATTAATCTTTTTAATCTATACTTAACCTATAGTATATACTATTATAATACATTTGGTTATAATAATTATTTATATATTTATTTAAAAACCTATTTTTTATTTTTTAATATAAGTAATATAAAAATATATTTACTAATATAAAACTAATATTAAAGTTTATCCCTTAGGAACAGCTACCCTAGACTAGATATAAAAACTAGAATATTATATTATTTTTTAAGAATTCTTTATATTACTAACTATTTACTATAAAGTTTATTATAAAATCTTTATTAATAAACTAAAGCAAATAATTTATTAATATTATAATAAACCATACACTAGATAGTTAATATAGGGTAGATTCCTAAGGGATAAACCTAGAATAAGTTCTTTAGATTTATATTAGTAAATAAGTTAAAAAACCTATAGGCAATACTATTATAATAATAGTTATTAATAAAGATTAAAAATGCTTTTTAATTTATAAATATAAAACTATATTAATAACTAGTTATTTAAGTTATTTAAATAAATATAAAAAATAAACTTATATATTTAGTTAATATTTTTAAATTATAATAAATTAATATTAATTTTTATTAATTTTAAATATAAGTTAAAATAAATTAACTATAATTTATATTAACCTATTGCTAATTAATATACTAGGCTTAAGTTAATCTAGTAATGCCTATCTAGTAGGCCTGTATTTATAACTATAAAAGTTAAGTTATTATATAATACTCCCCCTTTATTAGTTTTATCTTTAAGATTTAATTATTTAATATATAAATATTTATATTTTTCTTTAATAAATTATTTTCTTTTTTTATATTTTTCTTTTAATATTTATTATATTTTACTATATTTAAAAATCTAAAATTTTTAATTTTTAAAAATAAAAAAAAATTAATAAAAGTATAGTATTTACTATATTTATTTTCTTTTATTTTATTAAAATAAGGCTTTATTATTTATATAAAAAAAAATACTTAATGCTTTACTTTAGTAAAAGATTTAAGTTATTATTTTAAATATATAAAAAATTATAAGTTTTATTATAAAGCTTTTTTTACTGCTTAATAATTATTATAAATTTCCTATTATTAGGATTAATTAAATAATAAAGTTAAAGCTGCTAAAGAAAAGGTAATATATTTAATAGCTAAAATTGCTTGTTTTTATAAGCAGTATAAAAATTAAAAAAAAAAGCAGTATAAGCTATTTTTTATAATATTAATAATTTAAAAAAATTAAAGTATATTAAATATAAAAAAAAGAAGGCTATAAAAATTATTTATTAAGCTACTTTAGTAATATTTAATTCTACTGGCTTATTTTAGTTTATTAATATTATTAATTAATTTATATTTAATTTAAATATATTATTATTTTTATCTTTAATAATTAGTAGTATTTTTATAAAATTACTTAAGTATTTCTTTTAAGTTTTTTTTTAAAGATTTATATATTTTTAAATAAATTATATTTTTTTTACTTTATAAAATATTTTTATTTTTTTATTTTTTTATTTATTTATATATAAGTTAGTTTTTTAATTTTATATTTTTTTTTTATTTTAAATAATAATTTTATTTATAATTAATTTATTTATTTTTTTATTTACTAATGCTTTTTTTAAAAATAAAATATAAAAAACAAGTATTTTTAATTTTATATTATTAAATAAATTTAATTTATAGTTAACTTCTTTAATTTTTTTTAAAATTTTATATAATTTAAGTTTTTTAAAATTTAATTTATTATTTAGCTAATTTATTTTAATATTTAATAATTTTTTATTATATAAATACTATAATAAATAAGCTATATTCCTTTTTTAAAGAGTTAGTTTTTTAATTTTTATATAGTTAGCTTATTACTTTATATAATCTTAAATAAACTTAAGTTATTTTTTAAATTCTTTTTATAATTAAATTATATCTTTAGGTAAAATTTAAGTATTTTTTATATTTAAATTATTATAAAGTAATTTATAGGCTTTTAATATAAATCTATAATTAATATAAAATAAAATAACTTTTATAGATTTTAAAATAAAATTATTATATTAATTTTATACTATAGGGAGTTTTTTTACTTAATTATTTTATATAAAATTAATATAATATTATAAATATACTTTAATAATCTAGTTTATTTTTTTATTTAGCTATTTATTTATAAATAATATATAGTATTTAATTTATAATAAATTTTAAGTTTAATTATTAGTTTTTATTAAAATTTAAAAATAAAAGTATTTTTTTTTATTTAATATAATTTCTGCTAGTAGTTTATATTTTATAAAAATATACCTTATATAAAAGTATATTAAATCTTTTATAGTATAAGATTTTTTATATAGTAAAAAGTAGGTTTATTTAAAAAGCTTATTTATTATTATAAAAATACTATTATAAACTATATTAATTAATAGTTTTTTTAATTTTAATAAGTTAATAATAAAGTTAAATATAATAATATATTAATTTTATTTAAAAACTAAAATAAGTTATAATTTCTTATATAGCTAATATTATTTATTTTTTATTTTTATATATATATTATATTTTTTAATAATTTCTTTAACTTTTTATTTAAGTTTTTTAAAGCAGTAATAATATAATATATAATTATAAATAGTTTATATACTTTAATATACTACTATAATTATACTATAATAAATATTTTATATTATTTATATTTATAATTTTTCTAGTATTTAAATTTATTTACTATATTTTAAAAGTTTATTAATTATAGTTACTTCTTTAAAAAACTACTTTAATTATTAATTTTTAATTTAATTTTTAATTTTATTAAAAATAAAGTTATATTCTTTTATAATAAATAAAATATTAATTTTAATTTACTTATAATTTCTTTAATTATTTTTATATAAAATTTATACTTTAAATTTAAGAATTTCTTTAAAATATTTTTTTTTAACTTAAGGCATTAGCTTTTTTATTTTTTATTTTTTTATAATAAATAGTTTTATAATTAAAGTTTATTAAAAATTTAAAGTAATAAGTTTATTATATAAAAAGTTATTATATAATTATAAAATAAAATATATTTTAGTAGTTAATATAAACTTTAATTTTATATTTATTTCTTAAGTAATAATATTATTATTTTTTAAATACTTTAATAATTATTAAAAATTCTTTATTATAAATAAAATATTTTAGTTCTAGACTATATAGTTTTTTTTAAAAAAAAGCTATTAGTTTAAGTTTATTATTTTTATTTTATTATTTTAAAGTTTTTTTTAAAGTAAAGTTAAAAGTATTAATTTTAATTTTAATAGATTTATTTAAATTATATATAATAAATATTAGTTTATTAATAATAACATTTTTAAATTTTTAAAATATTAATTTTATTTTATTAGTTTAAAATAGTTTTTTATTTTTTTATTTTTTTTTATTTTTTTTATTTTTTTTAAATTAAATAATATTAATTAATAGTTTTATAATTTTACTATATTTTTAAATAAATTTTTAATAATAGTTAATAAGTTTTAAAAAACTTTATAATCTTTTATAAGTTTTTAAAAGTTTTTAATTTTAAATAACAGTAACTTTATTTAAGTTTATTTAAAATTTCTTTTAGTATAATAATATATTTAAAAAACTTAATTTATTAAATATAAAATTAGTATTTATTTAAGTTAATAAAAAGCTTAGCATTTTATAGTTTTTATAATACTTTATAAATATATTTTTTATATTTTTTTAATATTCTTAAGAAAATTAAAATGTTATTAATATAAGCTATTATAAAGTTATTTAAGTATTTTTTAAAAATAAAGTTAATTTTCTTTTAAAATAATACTAGTATATTTATAAGTTTTTATAATATAATTAAGTATTTAAATAATTTATATTTTATTTTAAAAGTAGTTATTTATTTATATTTTTTATTATTTTTATAAGTTTATAAGCTTTTATAAGGTTTAAGGCTGTAAATTAATTTATACTTTATAATTTTTTTTTAATTTTAATAATTAATAATAAAAGTATTTTATTTTTAATAATTATTTTATTAAATTATTAATAATTAATAATTAAATAAAGGTTTTTATTTTTCTTTAATATAAAAATAATAAAGTATTTTATTAAAGAGTTTAATACTTTAATATATTTTTTATTTAACTATATTTATAATTATTTTTTAAGTATTTTAAGCTTTATTTTATTAAGGTTATAGATTTTATAAAGTTTTAATAAAGTTTTATCTTTAAGAATAATTTTATAATTTTATTTTAAATAAAGTAATAGCCTTTTTTTAAATACTTGTTAATAAAATTTCTTATACTTTTAATATTATTATAGTATTTTAGCTAAAGGCTTGTTTTTATT